AAAAAAAAAAAAAAAAAAAAAGGAGACAAACTTATAATGGCAAGCTTGATGAGTAATTTTTCATTAGATAACTATGTCAGATTCTAAGTCACTAAGAATGATTAATTCAATTTCAAAATGTTTTAAAAGTGGGTTGTGTAAAGTAGGAACAGGGATGCCCTGGCTACAAGGGAACCCAGTCCCACCTAACTCTGTTGCCCTGATGGACAAGCCATACTTAACTCTCTGAAGACCATCTCAGCAGCTCATAGAAAAACCTGTCAATCAAAAGGCCCATGTTGCACATGTATGCACTACAACAGCCACACACCCGACACTCATTTTGTGGTTGTGGCTTTTTGTCTCCATGCAGGATTGTAAGGTTTTTGCAAATGTAAACCCCTCTTCCATTTCTCTATGATCTTCGCAGGGAACTTGGTGGGATCAAGCCCATTGACTAGCAACTAAATAGCAGTCGACAGCTAAAAGTGCTTTGAGGCTACAAGGAGAGACGTCCCATAGTAAACATGGGAGAAACCGAAGATGATACAGGCGTCTGGCAGGGGACATTGGTTGTGTAAGAGGGAAGTAAACTGGGCAGCCTGGCTGCCTGCTTGCAGGACTCAGATGCTCAGCTAGAGAATGGTAGCACATCCCACCATTCAGGGTGCCCTCCTCCCTCATGCACAGGGCACAAGGGGTATTAGGAAGGCTCTAAAGCGACGGTGACCTACCTTCACTGCAGGTTGGGATGGATGTTCTGGAAGATATTTGTTTCTGGAACCACCAGACAGGCTGTCTCCTGAGATCTGCCCCCAAAATGGAACTTGGAGGAGAATCAGCTGGCCTCGGTTCAAACCAGACAAACTGAAACAATGCTATGATCTGGAGGAGGACCTCAAGAGCCACAAGAAATGCTCACTTCCCTTCAGTCTGTGGCACACAAGCATTTAGCTGAATCAGCCAGCTGTGTGAGACCGTATGGACCCCTGGCTACTTAGAACATGAACATAATGTCTTTTATGGGGATGAGGAAGAGGTAAAACATCTAAAAAGAATGAAGTCATGTGTTGTGACAAGCCATATGGACATGTCACAGACTGCAGATAAACATGATGGAAGTATATTTACAAGTTCTCAGGTTTTAGCAAATTTGTCATGCTCTTTAAAAAAATCCCAAGGCTGATGGCATTGGCTATCCTCTGCACTAAGTAGATGGGAAGATGTTTCCTAAGGTGGAAATACTGGAGGTGAGCGTTGACAAGGATGAGGCTCACGCTGGTGGACTTTTTGGAATCAGGTATGCTAAGGCTGATGGCCGTCACTGTGGTCCTTTGGACTTGGTCCCTAGGCCTATGGTTCAGCCTTCTGTCTGGGGGTGGGCAATAAGCATTCACTTTTCCTTAGTGAAAAGCAAACAGCACAACCTGGACGCGGGGTCAGCGTGCTCTGGAATGCAGGTCATTTGTCACCAGACAGTCACCTGATGCTGGGTGTGCAAGGTGTTTAACCAAACCAAAACAATGAGTATGTTTGCCATTAACTCTAGGCTCTCGCCGTAAAGCCAGAAGGGGATGATCAGGGTTATCAGTTTGATACTGAATGCCTTCAGCAAATAGCTCTGCTTAGGACAAAATGGTTCCTCAGATCAAATCACCTCAATTCATTCAATACGTGGTAATTTGTCACATTTTTTTGTGGATACAAAATTGGAAAGATTCAAACCCCTTAGTGTTTTCCAGAATCATGTTAAAAGCTAGCTGAAGACAAAAACAAAACAAAATAACACAAACAAACAAACAAAAAAATAAAAAAACAGAACAAACAAACAAAAAAACCCAAATGATATATATTAAAAAAAACAAACAAACTGACTTTCCTTTTAAACCAAATCTCTCTGTGGGTAGAAGGGAGCTAAGGTTTTTTTCCAAGGGAAGAAGGAAGCATAGATGTTTGCCAAGATGGCAAGCTGGAAATGCTGGGGGTGGGAGCAAAGGTCTGTGGGAGATAGGCGTGAGAGACTGAAGAGCAGGGCCTTCCAGAGTACGTGCTATGGTTTGGGCCAGCTGACGGGGAAGATGGCAGAGGGTGGAGACCAGGAGCATGGGCCTGAGCTCAGGAGGCCTCACACATGCCTCAGTGGAGGAAGGGAAGCCAGGGAAGAGTGCTGAGCAGGTGGGGGTGTGGTCATGTTTGCTACCTGGGAAGATCCGTGCAGTGACCTCAGACAGACAGGTGAGGTGGAAAGGTTGTTACTACATCCTGTGGAGTGGTTCTGGGTGAGGAGGGCGGGCTATGAAGGGAGCAGCCTCTACCACGTCCTCCTGCTGACATGAAAGTCTCTCCTCAGGCCCTGAAGGATGGAGCTAGCTGACTGCAGACTAAAACCTCTGCAGAGAAACATGAAGCAAAATGTCTCTTCCTTCCTTTAGCTGATGTACGCTGGTATTTTGTCTCAGTGCTGAAAGCTAGTGAATGTGACTGTTTTGTTCCTGTCCCCCAAGGAGACACACCTCCAGAGATCATCATTTACTCCCTCTTGTAGTTTCCAATGAGCCTTATCATTCCCTGATAGCCCAGCTGCACAACAAAAGACTCCCCCCACCCCTTTACAAAGCCTGCAAACAGCCAGACCTTTGGAGAATTCCTTATCTATTGCAGCCTCCATTCTTCTGTTCCCTGAGATCAAAAACATCCCTCCCCCCTCCCCTCCCCTCTCCCCTCCCCCCGGGTTATTTTTACGTTTCTCTCTTATTTGCTCGGGAGAGGATCTGCACGTCTACAACTGTGCACATCTACCCAGAAGCTGGATTCCCATCAGGAGACCCGAAGGTGCAAAGCCCAACTTTCTTTTTCTTGATTCCTGTCTCCACTAGGAGAATATGGTGTGGAATTGATGGGACCTGGGCACAGCGCACTGGGTTTTTCCTCACCTTCACAGGCACATCCGCTCCTGGATTAAATTTGGGATTTGATACGCCACAACCCAATGTCTTGTCCCTGCCTGGTAACTGATGGGCTGAATGAACATAGGCTTTCTGTGAACGTGGAGTTTCTGAATCACATTACCCTTTTGTCAAATCACATGGCAGGTAAACAGTGGACTAATTCAGACCTTCCACACCACGGAAAAGCACACACTGGGGGGAGGAGTTAACGTCTCCAAGACTGTTTGTTTTCTTCGCCTTTTCTCTTGCCCTGGCAATATCTTTTGAAGTTTCAAAGCACTTCTGTGGTCCTCTGACTTACTCCCTCCTTCTTTAAAGGCCCGCTGCCCCCCAAAATGCCACCTATCCACCCCCACCTGAATCCCTGCACTCAGAGGCCCCTGAATCTTCTGAGATGAGCATTTCTGATTGGGAATCAATCAATGGCCTAGCCTGTCGACCAGCACAGTATCTGCAGGAAAAAAAAAAAATAACTGCAACCAAAAGCAAACATCAAAACAAAACAAAAACCAGACGATAGCCTAGATGGAGTTCCCCAGCTTTTTCATAACAGATTATTCTCAAGTTGAGCTAGTGAGGCGGCTCAGCTGTGTAGTGGGTAGCCATTCCTTAATAATTTCACCAATACAGCTGGTAAAGGGGCTTTGCTGCCAAGTCCAAGGACCTGAGTTTGATCCTAGGTGGCAGAAAGAAAGAATCGATTGCTTCAGATCTCCTTGGGTCCTCCACACACATGTCACGGCATGAATGTGATAACACACGCCCAAAATAGGTCAAGAGAATGGAGGTTGATAGACTAGTATAACAAATATATAAACCAACCACCTAGACACAGTGTTTATTCATATTTTGGCATTTTGTGCCTTTTCTATCTACGTGCCCATTTGAGTGCGTATGCAACCTCATAACGATCCATCCTACAATATTTCAGCACCTGTATTCACAAAATAACATTGCTCTCCCACATAGCCTCAGACTGCTGTCACTCCTGAGCGAATTTAGAATAATTCCACAATATCATCTAACAGTCTGCATTCCAATCTCCCTGAATATCCCAAGAAGTCAAGTAACATGTTTGATTGCTAACAGTTTTATATCTTTTAGTAAAGATTAGTCCTCCTACCTTCAATTTTGATGCACACGTCCATGCTGAAGTGACTTAGAGACTGTCCCATAGTGACCATCAATGAGCAGTGTCTGGAAGGGGCGATGCTTACTATTGCATAACAGAGAAAATAAACGACTGTGTCTCACTCAGAACAGAGGATCACATCTCCCTGGGCTATCACAACATGTCTCCAGCCTCTGCTGGGCCCCTAGGGACATCCCCACAGCTGTGTCAACATTCTTGCTGCTCCTCAAATGCTGGGGACATGGCCAGCCTGTGGTCTCTGCTGTCCTTCCTGGGATACTTTCCTCCCTGTGTGGGATAGCTGGCCCTCCCCTCCAGCAGGAAGTTGTTCACTAACCACCTCTCCTTCCTTGAGCACCCTGTGTGGAGTTGCAAAGCACCTTCCAGTGTGTATTTCACCCCAACTTTCTTCTTTTTAAAGATATGTATGTATGTATGTATGTATGTATGTATGTATGTATGTATGTATACTTGTGTGTACCTGAATGAGTTCATATGTACCACATGCATGTAGGAGTCCCCAGAGGCCAGAAGAGAGCATTGGAGCCACTGGAACTTGAATTACAGGCAGTTATGAGCCACCATAAGGGTACTGAGAACTGAACTCACATCCTCTGCGAGAGCACCAAGCACTTTTAACCACTAAGTTATTTCTATAGTCCTTAAGCCCCGACTTTCTATACATTTCTTTTCTTTTACTGATTTTTGTTGCATTCCCTAGAAGATACATATTCCTAAGATAGGGCTTTGGTGTGACTGATTCACTGCCACACCGTTAGCTATAATTACCTGTGTCTGACTCCATCCAATTAACCAATATTTATTAAAAGCCATAACTGAGCTCCAAACACTGCAGAGAAGCAGTGTTAGATAGATCTCCCAATGCTCTTGTGGCCTAGTCATCCATCCATTCCCCGCTGCTCCTGGCCTGAGGTAAGGCCTAACGCCAACATTGTAACTCCCAGTGCTAACCAATTTCATTTCTGAATTTAAAACAGTTTCTCAGTGACTCACAATAAAAATTTATTTTGGAAAACAGAAGTAAGTTACACACGTATTTGGAATAAAAGTTTCTGGCTGGGTGGTTGGTGGTGGCTCAAGCCTTTAATCCCAACACTCGGGAGGCAGAGGGAGGCAGACCTCTGTGAGTTCGAGACCAACCTGGTCTATAGAGTGAGTTCCAGGACAGTCAGAGCTACACAAAGAAGCCGTGTCTTGAAAAACCAAACCAAACCAAAACAAAACAAAAAGTAAACCAAAAAAGTTTCACTAAGTAAGCAATACCCTTTGCCATATACGGTTTCTACTCTGTCCTCTTTTGTTTTTTTCAAAGGCTGGTCCTGAGATGCTAGGTGATTTTGAACTCTTCTAAGCAGCTGTGATCTGTAGTTGAGAAGAGAAAAACCACTTTTTTGCTGGGCAGTGGTGGTGCACACCCTTAATCCCAGCACTCGGGAGGCAGAGGCAGGCGGATCTGAGTTCGAGTGAAGGTGAGTTCAAGGCCAGCCTGGGCTACCAAGTGAGTTCCAGGAAAGGTGCAAAGCTACATAGAGAAACCCTGTCTCAAAAAACCAAAAAAAAAAAAACAAAACCAAAAAAAAAAAAAACCAAAAACAAAACACTTTTTTGGCTCATTTCACTTCTACAGAAATCTAATGTAGTCAATATTATTTTAAAGTACATTTTACAAAAAGAGGAAATCGAGTTATTCAGGGTCATGCAGATGAATTATAGTTTGTACTGCATTAAACATCCCTTTTCAAGACAGAGAGTCAGTTATTTAAAAAAGTAAAACGGCTTTCCAAAATCTTTTGTGCTTAGTAGGTTGTCTGTGGATAGGAAAATGATAAGATCTTACACACATGCATTGGGACACTGTTTTAGGCCAAATATAGGTGACAATGTTGTATTAATGAAAATAAAGTATTTCTAAGTACCTCTATAGTCATTGTGGCATTTAGTTACACATGCTCTCAATGTAATAATTTAAAAAGGACAACGGCTATTGTAGGAGATCCAAAGAATTCTTTGATATTGACACTCCACCCCCCTAGAACACACAGACCACACCTTTAGAAGCATGGCTGGCAGGCTTACCTGGCAATCTATAAAGTACATCTTCAGCTTTATATGTGTCAGTTATTTAACTATTTTGTGGTGTTGTGTTTTGAACTCAAGGCCTCATGTAAACTGTGCATCCCTGGACCCTATACGCATGGATTATTAGTTAATAACCACTACAGGAGTGTCAACAATATGCTGAATTTGTCACCAGCATAAATATTAATATTTTTGTAACACTCTACAATGTTGCAGGTATTTCAAGATATTATTCATGTTCATCACTATGTTAAAATGATGTTAATTATCATCTCCCTAATCAGATCTTGATATTTAACACACTGAAAAGGAAAGCTGTTCATTAGTACAGTACACAATTTATTTTGGAATATTTTTGACTGATAGTCATAGTTCCATATGGGTTTTATGTATTCAAGTACATTCTTTTAAGAAATAATAATAAAAAAGAAATCCCCACAAATGATCTGAATAATCATTTCTCAAAAGACAACACCTAACATACCACCAAGCATTTAAAAAGCGATCACGGAAGGAACACACACACACACACACACACACACACACACACACACACACACACACAAGCACAAAGAGATATCACCTCTTCTCCACTTACAATGGCTTTTACCCAGAAGAAGTTGGGAATGCTGGTCAGGATGTGGAGAAAGGGAACTTTCAGATACTGCTGATAGAATTGTAAACCAGTGCAGCCAGTGTGGAAAACAAGATAGACAATACTCAAAAACAAAAACAAAAACAAAAACAACAAAAAACCACCACCAACAACAGAAAAACAAAATCCAGAGACAGAACCACTCTCTAGCCCAGCGGTCTTCCTGTTTTGAAAGAATTATCCATTACTATTTTAGGGTAGGAGTGTTTACCTGCAAGTGGGCAAATGCACCATGCCCATGCCTGGTGTGCCTGAAAGCCAAAAGAAGGATCCAGAGCCTACTGGAACTGGAATTACAGGCAGTTGTGAGGTGCTATGTGGGTGCTGGGAACAGAACCCAGGTCCTCTCAGAGCAGTGCTTCTACCCGTTGAGTGATCTCTGCCGTCCCATGATCCAGCTGTCTTACTCCCAGGTACATACTTAATGGCACTGACATCAGCATCCCTAGGACACATCTGCTCTTGGGTGCTTACTGTTGGACTACTGAGAAGTGGGTGGCCTTCCTGGCTGTTCATCGCCAACAGCAGTCTTGTGGCTAGTGGAGGTGGGAGGGAGGGCATTTTCCAGGAATCATGGAGATGGAGGTCCAGCGAGTTCAGTGATTGGTACTTGAAGCCTCACTTTGTCTCTGTGTCTGCTGTCACTATATCATATGACATAGTTGTCACATCCTTGTCCTACCCCTCCACTGACATGTCTGTCTCTTGTTTGTTGACTTACATTTTGGGAAGATCTTTGAATTCGCTTGTTTTGCCAGATGTAAGCTGAGGAAGCCAGTTTTGCTTATTACACACCCATTACTCATGTTCTCAGGATACTAGGATGATTGATTTTCCTCTCAACAGAGAGGGGAAAGTCTAAATTTCTGGGCTGAGTTCTGGGGTTAATCTTCTTGAATTATCACACTGCCTCACAGAACCAAAGGGCCATGGCGGTGGCCAATGGTTTAAATTATTTCTAGCTAGCATTGTAATGCATGGTGAATACAAAATAATAAATAACAGACCCATGCATGCACAAAAGTCTCTGGTGGGTGAAGCCTTGCTGTGGTTTTCGCTTAGCCTTGTGTTAAAGTTAGTCATATTTTCTCTGTATGTTTACAGAAATTCAGGTTGTTGTACGTTGTGTGAATTGAAATGTTTGACAGACTTGACCTACTTTCATCTTGGGATCATCAGCATACACAAACTTGAGCTGGGGAGACGGCTCTGTTGGTACAGTACTTGCTGTGCAAGCATTAGGACCTGAGTTCGGATCCCCAGCACCTACACAGAAGCCAGGCTTGTTGGTGTACACCTGCAATGCAAGAACTGGGTGTCGGAGGAAACAGAAACAGGTACACCGTAAGGGCTTGCTGGACAAGCTAATCTACCTGAAGCAGAGAGCTTCAAGTTCAATAAGAGACCTGTATAGACAATTAAGGTGGAGGGCAGAGAAGGAGATACCTGAAGCCAACCTCTGACCTCTACAAACTCAGGCACAGGTGAGCACACCTGCAAATACACATGCATTATATATGACACACACACACACACACACACACACACACACACACACACACGCACGCACGCACATGCACATGCACATGCAAATGCACGTACACCATTAACACCAAACAAAACACAAACAACAAAGAAAGATGAATGAACTTGAGTTTACTTCTAAAATTCCTCTGAGATGATTTAAACTCCATGATGTTATCTTTTTAAAAAGTGAAACAAGTTGGTCGGCGGTGGCGCATGCCTTTAATCCCAGCACTTGGGAGACAGAGCCAGGCGGATCTCTGTGAGTTCGAGGCCAGCCTGGTCTACAGAGCGAGATCCAGGACAGGCACCAAAACTACACAGAGAAATCCTGTCTCAAAAAACCAAAAAAAAAAAAAAAAAAAAAGTGAAACAATAACTCTTACTTCTTTTCAACTCTCCCTGGACCTCTGATGTCAATGGATGGAGCACAATGTGCTTAAGATAGGATTCAGAGTCCTGTCTTCCTCATCAACCTCATTGGCTACACCCTTCCCCACATATACCTATTTAAACCTTTCTAAAATCTTTTCATTTTCTCACATGAGCTCCAATCGTTGTGCAAAGGTGATTCACTTTTCCTTCTTGTTATTTCCTTGAAAGCTCCGATTGGTCTATGGAAACACCTCGATGTCACTGCTCAGTTTTTGGAGAAGTATTTTACACTAGCCTCCATTCATTGCTTTCTCTGCAATGGAAGAGAAGCCGTGTTCTCATTTTCATCAAAAGTGTTGATCTGAATGCATTAAAGTGTTCTGCTTAAGCCAGTAAACAAAGGGAATTTATTAGCATGTGTCAGAGGCATCT